CACCATAGCTCTGAGCGAACCAAAGGCTCCAGAAGAAGAACCTAAAGATTCCGAGGACCCTGCTCCTCGAGACAGTACCGCCGAAGCGCTTGCATTGGATACCGCCTCCGGGCCATCCTCACCTTCGAATACCACAGATGTTCCTGAGACCACTCCGCAGGCAAACATAACTTCTGCAATTCCTACGGAAGACGAATTGAAGCAGGATGAACTCAGGCAACAGGAGTTTAGTGAGAATTTCGAGAAGTATACCATTGACCTGCGAGTGAGCCACCCTATCAGTGACAGAGACGCTAATGCAAAGCAGTACATATCATACCTCATCACAACGACAACAGACCATCCGCTGGTGACCAAGCTTTCTAGCGTGAAGCCAGAGAAGGACGAGCTGTCCGTGACCGTGAAGATAAGGAGGCGTTATGGAGACTTCAGGTTCTTGCATAATTGTTTGATAAACGATTTCCCACAGTCATTGGTTCCTCCACTCCCGCCAAAGCTGAACTTCAAATACCTTACGGGTGATACGTTCAGCACGGCTTTCGTGCACAAGAGACTCCACTCTCTTGACACATTCATCAGGTTTATCTGCCAGCATCGGTACCTTTCCCAGCTGTCTGTGTTTCATTACTTCATAAGTGACTCCTCCGAATGGTCAACTTTCACTAAGAATCTCTCAGTCTCAAAGAATTCTGCACCAGAAGAGGCCGAGTCAGGCGGATTCTTGGGCAAGGTGGTCAATGAGGATTTGCTCACCGAGACCGTTATGAACTACTTCACCTCCTCAAAGCATAAGCGAGAAACTAACAAGGATATACTTGAGATAAGTGACAAGCTAAAGAAGCTTTACGAGAACCTCATCAAGTTGGACAAGATCTTTAGCAAACTCAATCGCAAACACAGCGACTTGAAGCTTGACTACGAGCAGTTTTCTTTGCAGATTAACAAATTGGCTACTATCCAAAACGTCACGACACAAGCAAATGAGAACCTGAAGGTTGATCCCAACCTGTCTCTAAATTCAATTCCAAGCGAGAACCCTGTCTTTCAGAACAATTTCAAAGTGTTTTCAGACTCCCTATTATTCTTCTCTGAACACTGGTCTTCACTTCATCGATACGTCGACGAGTCGTTTTTGGTTTCTTTGAAAGACTGTGCAAAGTACATCATACGTTTTACAGAGCTCATTGAGCTTCAGCACAACAAGAAGATCGATCTTCAGGTGCTTCAAGATTACTTGGCGAAAGCCAGAGCAGATTTGGCAAGTTTGGGCGGGCACACTGGTGGCAATCATGGTCCAGGACCAACTCCCGTCATGGTAAGTCAGCAGAGAGGTATTGTGAATAACACCACTCAGCTTATAAAGGATACCATCTCCACATCAGCCACGCCTCACATTGGCTCCACGCACTCCGATAGCAAGAAGCAAAAGCTACAGCAGAGAGTCAATCAGCTTGAGAGCGAGATCAAGTCACAGACGCAGCTCGTCAACCATCTTACCAACAGAATCATCAACGAGGAATACCCTAACTGGGACAGGTTCAACAAAAGGCTGTTGAAAAAATCCATGGTTGATTTGTGCGATCAAGAGATTGATTTCTACAAGAAATTGGTGGATAATTGGGGCGACGTTGAGAGCAAGCTTATCGATAGGCTTGAAGAGCTCTCCTAATTAAGGTAACGCAATACACGAAAAATTCGCTTAGGCAGGCGTAGAGCTTCCAAAAGCCTGAGCGTTGCGCGTGACTTTGGGTCACATGCATGATTCTCTTGGCTACGTCTAGGTTTGCCAGGTAAAGAGTTTGGCAATATTCCGGAACATCCTATTTTCGTCACATTATGCTTCCCAAACTCACCGGAGCTATTGTGGGTCTCCTCACATTATCCGCTGTAACCGTGGCCAATCGAGTTCCATTTGACGAAAACGACAATGCCCAAGTCTGTGAGGGAATGTATTCCAAGAAAGACTGGGGTGGCAGTATCCATCCTCAGATTCAATTGAAGCTTGAAAAGTTCGGAAGCCATAAGTACGATAAGAAGAATCCCGAGGCAAATCAGGGTGGTGATACCCGTGTCAGTTATGTCGTTTTCGAATACAAGGATATCGTCCACCTTGGAAAGACCAACAAGGCTGGTCGTAGAAAATACATCTGTGACACTAGCGCTATTGCCGAAGGTTTGTGTGAAGACAGCTCAGAGGGCAAATTTATCGTCAACAGTGATATCACCAACACCACAGTGCAGACTGCTCAATTGACGCATTTGGGACCAGGCAAGATCAACTACTCTGTTGACCGCACCGGCTACTATTGTGTGGCAACATACAGTGATACGAACTCCAAATATAAGGGTATGGTCAATTTCCAGAACGCTTTTGGCCATTTGAGTGCCTCCGAGATTCCGAAGTTGCCGGCTTATGGTATTCTTACCCTTATGTACGCCGTCGTGTTAGCTTTGTTCGGGTTCCAGTTCTTCAAAAAGAGAAACCAGAACCAGATCTTGCCATTGCAGAGGTACTTGTTGGCAATGCTTGGATTCTTGACTTTCGACACTTTGGTTGTATGGTCCTACTACGACTTGAAGAACAGAACCGCTAACCAGAAGAATGGGTTTGTCATTTTTTACACGGTTTTCTTATCGTTCTTAAATGCGGGCAAGATGACCTTCTTTTTCTTCTTGCTTTTGTGTATTGGTCTCGGTTACGGTGTTGTCAAGTTGAAGTTGCCCAAGAAGATTATGTTCCGCTGTAAGCTCCTTGCGGGTTTCCATTTTGCTGCTTCCATGTTCTACCTTGTCATGACATACGTGAGATCTTCTCAAAACTCGTTGTCTTCCAACAACAGCGTTTCCTCAGATAACTATGGTGCCAGCATCTGGGACATTATTCCAATGATTCCAGTGGCAGTGACCATGACCGCGTTCTACGTGAGCATCTTGACTTCTATTCGTGGTACCACGGCAAACCTTCATAAACAGCGCCAGGTGATCAAGTTGCAGCTTTACGAGAACTTGTTCCGTATCATCTTCCTTTCCGTGTTCCTTTCGATGGGTGGTTTGGTTCTTTCCAGTTTCATCATCTTGAGTTTGTCCACGACAGATGTAATCGAGGAGCACTGGAAGGGATCATACTTTTTGTTCGACTTCTGGCCAAGTATTGTGTTCTTCTTGGTTTTCCTCGGTGTCTCGTGGCTCTGGAGGCCAACTGAGACGAGTTACATGTTGGCCGCTTCTCAACAGCTTGCTACCGATGGTGGCGAGGAAGGCGAGCACACTGGCGCTCAAGGTCACGAATTCGAATTGGACGACATCTCGTTGATGAGCCATGACGATGACGAGAACAACCTCGGAAGAGATAGTTTCGAATTGCAAAACCTGAATATCCCCAGTGAAGCACCTCCAAACTACGAGGAGGACGACGCTGTTCACAAGAGAGACCTGCTTCATGGCGAAGCTGGTAAATCAAGCAATACCCTCTTCGAGTTAGGAGATGATGACGACGACCGCCAACACGGTAGTAGCACCGGTCGCGAGGAGTACGAGCCTCTTGATGACGACGACGAGTCTGATGATCGCTTGAAAAAATAGAAGGGCGTATCAAAAATACTACAAAAAGGTGAATCATTTACATCAGCATTTATATAAGCATCTAGCCAGTCGCCCACAAGGTTCCTCCACGAGAATGCACGTCTTTGGCTAGACTTTCCACCCGCGAGTCCCAATCGACCAAATGATTGTAAAGATTTTTGACCTGATCCAAGTTCAAGATACGTGGTTGCAACCATGTGACAACCAAGATTTGTTGAATCTGATTGATATAACCCTTGATCAAATTGAGCGAGAAACACTTGATAATGAGAAGCTCAACCTCATCGATTGGTGTACCTGTCACCTCACTTATAGACTGGAACAGCAACTTCTTGTTTGTGGTCAGCTCGGTGGAAATCAACTCCAACAATGACATTATGACAATCTTTTGGTGCAAAAATTTGTCATGGTGGGCGAGAAGAGGACTCTTCTCCAAGGATGGCTTGAGCCATTTGTTGAACTCGGCCAAGTTACCGGAGTTGAGATGTTGAATCAAACTGAACAACCAGAAGTATTGACCGTTGGGCTCGCTGATAACCTTTAATATGTCGTGAAGAATCAACTCACCGAAGTTGTAGATCTTGTTTCCAAGCAAAGCGGCGATGCAAAGGTCATAACAGAATTGGACTTGCTGGGGTTCGGGAAGTGGAGTGTCCAAGGATGAAAGGTACAACAATCCATTGGTATAGAAAAGGTTATAGTTATCATGGATCTTGTAGTATTGGCATTTGGTGAGATAGAAAGCAGCATTGATCTTCGAGCTGAACTCATTTTGCAAGGTGTTCTCAAATTTGTCTCCAACAGATTCCAAAATCTCATCTGCCAGGTTAGCATTGTTCAAGAGCAAGGCATATCTTGCGATTTGCAAATTAATGTAAATGACTGACTCATCATTGTTAATGAGTTCATCCAAGTTATCGGGCTTTCTTGAGCCATACTTTTTAGTCAATTCATTGACCAACGATTCCTTCAATTCGTTCAACTTATCGAAGCAAACCTGGTTGTCATCAAAAGATTGCAACAAGAAGTCGATGAGTTTGATTTGATTAAGCTTGGTCTGGAATTGTGATAAAAACAGACTGAAGATTTGCTGTCTGAAGGTGCCAACTTGACTCTCTGGGTTCTGATAAAGCTCCTCTAGAGCCAAGGTCAACTGGTTCCACAACTTTCTTTCATAGTAATCCTCTAATTGGTAGATCACTTGAATTAGTTCTGAGGACTCGATTTCCAGTCTCAACTGTGCAAGAACAGTCGAGACATCATTGTCCACATCCATTGCAGACATTTTCGATTTATATTTCGTGATAATATGAGATCTCACTTTGGTTTAAAGTGGCGGCGATCAGAGCTAAGGTGTGCGAAAATCAAAAGTTGGGTCGCGAAATCGCTACAACTAGGGTAGAGGGTATATATGCAATTTAATCATCGACTTCACCGACTGAGGTCTTGAAATCACTCCAGGTGTTCAAATTCTCTTCAAAAAGTTGCTTTCCTGCTCTCACAAATTCAAGCATAATAGTAAGCCATTTGCGTTCCATCTTGTCGAGGAACTCTTGGAAGTTCACTTGTAGGTTCTGAGTGAGCGTTATCATATCACCGTTCACCAAGTCGATAAGCTGGTCAAGCTTAGTGAGCTCCTTATCAATATGCTGCATCTTATGTTGGTATTGAGTTTTGAGATCTCTTGGATTAGGAGTAATGTCTTTAGGAGACTCAGTATGCTCTTCACCATGCGGTTCAACATGCGGTTGCTCATTCGGCTGGAGACCCTGCTCGGGCAAAGTAAATGTGGTTTTGGTACCTCCAAAAAGACCATACCATGACTTTTTTGATTGAAGTTGCCTTCCACGATGTTGTCTGTTCTCAATGCGTTTGATGGCTTTCTTGATCGACGGACTGTTGATATCAAGATCTTTGAGATGTTTGACTGAATTGACGCTGTCGTGAAAAGCATTCATTTCCTGAACCTTGTTGAACTTCAACTTATAAATAAGTTTGAACTGAATCAATTTGTATTTGTAATACTTCACGAGCTGCAAAGCTGAGAAGTAATACTGAACGAACCGGTTGACGGGATCGTCCCACTCTGGAATAACCCTATCAAGGAGAAAATGTTCGTAATTGAGAAAAGTTGAGTCTACCGCAGACCCAAACTTCTCGATAACGGAAGACAATGACTTGTTTCTTTCTGTCGAGGCATCGTGAATTTGTAAGGAGAAGTTATTCAAATTGCCTCCCAACTCAATGAGGGAGCTGATCAAGGTCTTGAAGTTCTTCACAGAGCGGGTATTTAGCTTCTGGATATCGTGGAGTACCTTGATATTCTGGTGGAAATTGATCTCAAAATTTATCAAATCAATTGGAATGTCTGAGAACACAGCATCATTTTCTGCGATCTCGTGCCGATTATTCTCTTTGAGGTCGTATATCTGAATATCAGCATGCAATTTGTGTATGTCGTCGTTGAGTTTCTTGAGACCCGAGAGGTTATCGGGGCTATCTGTGTCGAACCCTGTGACGGATGGAAGAAGTAAGTAGAGCCCATTCTGATCAGTAGTATCGTTGGGATTGGCAAGTAAAAGATTGGAAGGGATCAAGCTGACTGGCGGCTCGTTGATTGCACTTTCCCAACACGACTCGTAGTTTGGATCCAAGAACTTATGGAGCAACGGACAGTTTCGTAACTTCACATTTGAATCGAAGATGACGTCCTGGAGAAAGTTACGAAAGTAGCGCTTTCGAAGCTCAATAACGCTGGTCTCTCTCGCGCTATCGATGGCGTTTATCAAGTAGGTGAGAAGCGTGTGTTTCTCTGGAATGGGCGGTATGACGAGGGTGGGGAACAACTTGACCATGTTGTCCCGAAGAGATTTGAACTCGCTATACCTTCTCTTCACAATGATAGCATCGCTGTCCTTAGCTCCTTTCACCTTCAACTGGATGAGGTAGACGACGATTGAGTTCATAACACGCTCACTCAGAATGACATCAATAGTGAGTTTGGGGTTGTTGAGCATCTTGCGGATTCTCTGGGAAAGCCCGATGGAGCTATTGATCAAATTGTTACCCACAACGTTGTCCACATTGTTGTTGTTGAAATCTATCGATGCACCCATCTTGTGTGGTTCAGGAGAGGTCAGGGTGAGTCTCTGATGTTGCTCCTTGTTGCCATTTGACGACTTGTCGTTTTCTGGCTCGATGGTTTGGTACAAAGAAGGGTTGTTGTCCTGCTCTATGTCACCAAAAAGCCCGTCGTCATCCATGGTATATTTAATGCTTGGTTATTTTGAGTGAGGTCTAGTGAGTTTGGGGATCTTGAGGGTCGCTACAGCATCGCCTGCAGGTGATTACAGAGCACCAGATAAGCAGTTCGAGGTGATCGAGGCGGTGGTGTTGACTAGTCGTATTCAAAATTATTAATGGAAAGAGAAGAGGGGCAATTGGGTCAAATGGTGTTAAATTTAGGGTTTGGGCTGTTGTTTGCTCGATGGGTTACTGGAACGGTTGCACGTCAGGGTACCTAACCGGAGGCGATGATCTCGATGAACCAATTTGGATAAATGTCCAGCCTAGATAGATAAGATAAAAAGATGTGAGGAAAGGTTTCGGGAAGTTTTGGTCGTGAACAGCAGATTGCACGGAAATTGCTATGACAGACCAAGCTCGTCTCGACAAGACGAACTTCATACAAAGCAACGGCCATACTGCCAAGAGAAGACTTCCATATGCAGCGTTCGTGTGGAAAGAACTGCTTTTCACAAGAGTCATCCAAATCGGTGAAACACTTCCACTGCCAATCTCATACATACAAAATCTCCCAAAGTCGCCGATAGCCCAGGGTGCTTATGGCTGCGAAACCGGAATGTCACATTCGGCTGCATTAGCCTTCTGTGCCACGAGACAAGTAAACAAATGTACGAAGCCTAAAGAAAGAAAGTTTCAACCTCGAGGATCCAAAAATAAACAGCAGCGGAACATCCCCCCACATATGCTGAAAATCAAATTAAGCTTTCTGCCGCCTGGACCACCAAGTCTTCCCCGTATCCACGGCGCGCTTCGTGCTCCACAATTTACGACACGCATGGAGTTGACATAATTCGATAAAAACATCGCCTCGTTGACGTTGAAGAAAAAAAATCCAGAACTCGGTAAATCCCAAAAAGCTGCATTTTGTAAAGATCATTGACCCCGTAAGCCACGTCAAGGTGCACCCTTATTGCGGTTCCTGAGTGTCCTCAATAAAACTCGCGTCTGCTATCTATTGTTGGTGCTCACTTTTTTTTTGGCAGCCTCCTCAAGGTGAATATTTCTCAACCACTCGGGGGTTTTTCCTGAAATTGTCGGCCTAAGCTCATATCACCTAAAAGCAATGATTTCCATACCAGCGAGGTGGACGAGGATACTTATTGCCGTCTGCATCTTCCTCACCGTGTTGAACTTCCTATCCTCCGCCTTCACCAGCAAATCATCCAACTTCGATACGTCTGTGGTGGGCAAGCCAAAGCTGAACTACTACCACTCCGATGGAACGAAAGACCTTCTCAAGGTAGGCGCCAACTCAGGTGGAAATGGCGAGGCGGGTGACCAATCCCAAGAGGGACAACAGGACAAACAGCCTTCTGAACCAGAGGCTGATGAACCTCCCATCAACAAGGCCAAGCCACCAGTGCTCGAGCAGCAGCTCCGCAAGTACCTTGACGACCGTGACAACGGCTTGTTCATTGTTCTGCTGGAGCTTGGCGACCCCAACGTTCCTGAGTACGAGACTCACGACATCAAGCTGCTCCTCAAGACCAACAAGAAGAAGAAGAAGTTTGAAGTTGCCGAAGTCAAGGGCTATGACTACACCTCATTGCAGCAACAAGTTCTGTTTTCTCAAAGCAGCGGTGGCATTGGCGACTCTTTGCAGTTTTTAGAGTTCCGCAAATTGTTCATCGAGTTTCTTGAGGGGACTTGGGGTTTGATTGAAGCTGCCAGGCCCACGGTCGGCGGAATCAACAACGCCGCTCACTACTCGCAAGCCAAGGCTTTGAACAAGTACGACAACGTCAACGGCAAGATCCCTGTGTACGGTGGCCATTGGAGAGAATCGTATTTGGCCGAGCCCGTTCGTACAAAGGACTATTTGCTGTACTTCTTGCGTATCACTACCCAGGAGAAGAACGCCCTTCAGAACTCCCACGCTACCTTTATGAACACGAGACCCAAGTCTTTCCCTGGCCAATTGCTCAAAGCAGGAAGAAAGTTTGGTTTCATGGAAGGCGATGGTATCGTGTATTTGGGCGGTGGCAAGTACAACCAGTTGGTTCTTTTGTCCATCTCTTTATTGAGAGACACAGGCTGCAAGCTTCCCATCGAAGTTATTCTTCCCAGCAGAGATGACTTCGATCTTGACCTCTGTAACAACATTCTTCCGTCTTTCAATGGAAGGTGCAAAATCATGTCTGACTTCCTTCCGAGCAAGCTTGTCGGCGGTTTAAAAAATTTCCAGCTCAAAAGTATGGCATTGTTGATTTCTTCTTTTAAGAACGTGTTGTACTTAGACGCGGACAATCTTCCTATTAAGAACCCCGACTACTTATTTGCCAACAAGCCATTCACTGAGCTGCACATGATTATCTGGCCCGACTTGTGGCGTCGTTCGACCTCCCCTAGCTTTTACGAAATCGCAGATATTGAAGTCGATCCTAATTGGCAAATGAGAAACAGTTACTTTGCTGGCGATAAACGAGGCTCCACGAAGGGCGAAGTCTCCCTCCACGATACAAAGGGAACTATCCCAGAGGCTTCCAGTGAGACAGGTCAGTTCATGATTAATAAGGAAGTACACTTTGGTACCCTTATTTTGTCTTTGTACTACAACTACTACGGCCCCGACTTTTACTACCCTCTTCTCAGTCAAGGTGCCGCTGGAGAAGGCGACAAGGACACTTTTATTGCAGCAGCTCATAAACTCGACCTCCCTTACTATCAAGTTATGGAATTCAACCGTGAATTCGGACCCGAAAAACCAAGCAAAAAGCACGAGTACTTCGGCATGGGCCAGTATGATCCAATTGTCGATTATCTCAATAGTCAGTTTGACCTTACCAATAAGGCCAATCTTGAGAACCTTGCCAACGATAATGAGGATCCTGCGAAACTGAATTACGATTTCCATTACTACAAGACTTCGTCCTTGATGTTCGTTCATGCAAACTGGCCCAAGTATTATATTGATGAAATGTTCGGAGGCCTGAATTCCAATGGAAGAGGTCCCAAGGACAACAATGGAAACAGGCGAAGATTATACACTGATTACTTGAAGAAGGAGACCAGAGGCTATGATTTCGAGTTGGAGATCATGAAGCATGCGGATGCATGGTTCTGCAAAGGTTTTATCAGTCTTCATAGCTTGTCGGCTCCAGACAGCTCAGGAAGAAAAAAGGCTTGTGACAGTATACGGGAACAGATTGAATATTTGAAGAGATAGGTCTCAGTCTTCAATAAAGCCATTTAAGGTCGAGAATCTTCTCTGGCACCTTGCCCGTTTGGGCAAAAATGAGACAATAGTGCTGAAGCAAAAGGCTGATCTCTTCCACCTCATCGATCATTTCAATCCTGGTTGCTCGGGCCACCTCATCCTTCAGCAACCATGATAGGTTATTCGAGGTATAGCCGCCAACTTCAGCCAAATCTGTGGACTTGACAGTCTCAAAACCTAGTGTTTGGTTAAAGAACGTTTCTCTTGATTTCAAATCGGGGTACTTTTTGAACGTGTGGAGGTCAATGCCACGACTGATGAGGTTTTGCTCCATAGTCTGGCCAAAAGCATCTCCCAAACCCATTGGCTCGTACATCAATACGGCCAAATTCCGGAAATTAGATTTGCAAAACCCCAAGACTTTCTCGTTATCCTCAGGGGTTAAATAACATAGCACGCATTCACTGATCACCAATGTAGGTCGTTCTTGATCCACGTACTTTAAAACACTCTCGCTTCCATGCTCCTCTATTTTTCTGAGGTCTAATGCTATGAGGTCGTACTTTGAGGTGTGGATTTCTGGATCTAGTGCTTCGAAGGAGGCTCTATCTTTTATGCTAACATTCTCTGATTCATCACCCACTATACCCTGGATCGTAGGATTCAGAAGGATAGCAGCCTTTTTGATTTTAACCAGTTCTATGAAATCAATTTCCGCATATCTGACACCTTTCAGGTGCTCCTGTAAAACACGAAATCCTCGAGTGTCGGAACCTCCTCCTAGAGAGATGATTTGACATTCGTCATGCGAGCTAATGAATCTCTCCACAATGGTGTTGATCAGTTTAGCCCTAAAGAATGTACCTCTGTTGATCAATGGGTATTTGGGGTCTTTGAAAAGTGTTCTGAGCGATCTCCCAGCCGATAGAGCTGTGTATCCACGGCAGTGTTGGAGATTATGTTCATAAGATCGAAGTAGATCTTGGATATATAAGTCAGGTGGAACGAAATAGCCTTTGGCATTGGCACAATGGCGGCAGCTTAAAGCGTCCAAGTCGGTTGCCCGTATGCTTTTGTCTTTCTTTTCTTGTGGTGATAGCATACCAATGTGGAACTTGTTGCGATGTTAAAGTGAAAAGTACACTAGTAGTAGAGGTGTCGCGCATAGATGTCGCGGTTGATAATAGCGTTATCTGGTGTGGTGGTATAGGCACAGCGGTATTTTTTTTTTTTAAAATAGAATATAGATCTTTTTGAGGCTCTGGTTTGAAGCAACTTGTATCTTTCAAAATAAACTCATTCATGTTGACTCACTACGTAGTTGATTGATAGAGTGCTTCAGAATACAATGATTTGCAGCCACTGATACCACCACCTAATGCTCTATTATGTTGGATCACCAATAGCGGATCCCAATTGGCCCGAAAAAACAAGAAATTGAAAATGACTCTATTGCTTGTAATTAAACGAAAGCGCTGTAACTATTTACATCAGATCAAACACGCTCCATGATTACCCACCAGTTATCCTTTTCATACCCATGATCAACCACCTTACCGCCAGCCTTTTCAGCATTTTCCACGAGCTCTCCTTTCCTGTAAAGATGGTAGTAACGATATTTGGTCTCGGGCTGCTCCTCCTCCTTTTGTTCCTCTGTGTCATTATTCTGTCTTTTTTCCTTCTTGGACTTCTTTGCAGTTTTCTTTTGCAAAACCCAAGGTATCAATATATCCTGGTCGTCGCCCTCCTTGTACCCTCTTCTCGACTTTTCCTGTTCGAGGGCCCAGCAGTAGACCAAAAGCCGTCCACCAACTCGGAGTTTGGAAAGAATATGTTCAATGGCTTCGATTCTTCTCTTCTCGTTGGCAAAGTGGTGAATGACTGCTATCAGAATAGCAAAGTCAAAACGGTCATTCTGATGCGGTAAATGCAAGCCATCAGCGACAGCTAGGTTGAACTTGTTTTCACTATTCACCCTGGCACACTCGACCAAGCCGTCCGAGCGGTCCAGGCCAATGCAAAATAGTTTCTTGTTGACCCCAAGGTACTTTCCGTTGCCGCATCCAACGTCCAAACCAAGACTGTAGTCAGGCTGTTCCAGTAGAAACTTTTCAACTATGGGCCAAGGCTTGTACCGGGTCAGAGAGAAATGGGAGGCGATTTCGTTATAAACCTCATGCACATATTGCTGTTCTTGCTCCTCCGGCACTTCTTGTGTTTCTAGGGGTATGGAGGGAACGCTCATTATCAGTTGGAGGTATGGAGATGCTCGCGATGATGTACCATCTCCAGGCTATTTCTGATGCGCATTGAGAAGTACACCTTTTGATAAGCGGCACTGAAGAAATCCCCAAGCTGAAATATGTTTGTGCCCATATTTGTTGCTCTAGTAGCAGCGATAACTGCCTACCTACGCCTAGTGCCCACGACCTTGATTGACGAACCTTCTGTTACTCAAATACGGGCTCTTCGAGATTATGTGGCCAACGACTTTGCCATAGCTCAGCCGGTTACGGTCCAATTTTACGATACGGGCTTCCGTTTTCCCGACCTAGTGGAGGCTACACAGCGCCAGCTCGATCACCATTTGAAGTCTCGTGGTATTCCATACAAATATCCGTTGGTGGACGAGCTTCCGAAAAGTATACCTAGATTCACCGGCAACAAGACAAAAACGGAGACAGCGGAAATTTTTGTATTGACAGATGACGATGGATCGACCGAGACCATGCTGGCGCAACCTGCTGCTAGTACTGACCCAATTGACGTTTCGAAACCTCCAGACCCGGAATTCAGCTTGGATATTGCCTTGGGCGGAAATGTTGGAGTATGGCTCGATCTGTATAAATTCAGAGCCATGATGACATATGATTTGGAAGCTATCCATGCGAACGATCTACCATTTTACCTAGCTCAGACTATCCTGGACCATCTCTGTGAGATTGACTTCAACGCACACAGCAGGCTTCTGCATTTCGACTTCGAGCTGTATGTTCCAGAAATTACACTCAATATTGTTGCTGCAGAAGACAGAGTTGAGAAGGACTCTACCGTGCTTGAGGATGCATTGATGGAGCTGATTATTAAACATCTAGATGCCATACGCCCGTTCGTGAACATCACAGCCAAAATCCACCCAATCGACGTCACCAAAAACAAAATACCCAACAGCATCATGAAGAACAATACCGAACAGCTCACATTTATTTACCTGACAACACTTGAGGGGTTCTTGCTGCAAATTGGAGGTGCACATGTGTACCACCTTGCACGGGAAAAACCCAAGGAAATTTTTGGGGATACCTACGGGACAGAATATCTCGAGGCTCAAAAGCTCAATGAAAATCCTCGCATAAACATCACAGACTTTCTTTCTTCAATGTTTGATGTGCTCGAGACGCGGGTCGGACTTACAGAAAATTGTTCAAACAAACACCTCGAAGTATACTTCACTGCCAAAGCATTCACCATAAGAGGTCTTTATCTTGCTTTGGATGCCATCTTACAAAACAAAAGTGCAGAAAACCTTCAGCATTTCATTACCATTTGTCAGCTCGTTGACACCATTTTGGCCGAAGAAAAACACAATTGGGCTGACCACCTAAAGCATGTTTTCAAGATTTACAAAAGCATATCATCAAATGTATAGATAATCAATGATCTCTTGGGCACGGACATTCGTGAAAGTAGTAGCACGAGAAATTTCCTGCAGAAAGTCACTATCAACACTCTGCTTACTTCTTACTATTCAACCATCTCACACCATAATGAGTAATGCAGGAGAAGACGGCTATGCCAGTGATGTCAGTCTAGATGAAGATGACGAGGAGTTGATATGGCGTGTATTTTATTCGTCAAAAGAGGACAAATCCAATGAAGGAGCAGAACTAGATATAGATGAGGAAGAACTATCAGACCTCAGCGACATAGAGGACGAGCAGCTTGTACAGAGATATAAAGAGCTAAAGGAGCAGGAGTCGAAACCTCTTCTGGAGGATGACAAAAAGAAACTCCTTATCACCTCATTCACCAACGATCAAATGGACAAGTTTGAAGCCTACAGAAGAATGGCCGTTAATAAGCCGGGCGTCAGAAAGATCTGCAACGGTGTGTTGAATCAATCAATTCCACAAAACATGGCCATTGTGTTGGCTGGTATCTCCAAGCTGTTTCTTGGTGACATAATAACAAAGGCCTTCGAGATTCAAGAAAGGGAATACAAAGCACAGCTAATACTTGACATTGACGCGAAGAAGAAGCGCAAGAAGGAGACACTCAAAAGAATGGAAAACGGACAGGACGTTTCAAACGATCCACCCGAGAGAAAGCTTGAATATTTGGGTGACAGCAAAGGCCCTCTTCAACCAGAACATGTCAGAGAGGCCTGGAGATTGTACAAGCTCGAGAGCAGTGGTGCGTACCTGTCACAGTGGAGCACACAAGGTGAAGGCGATGGTAAACTATTCAGATAATGGAGTACATTTTTGACTATATCACAATGTTCAGATTTCGAACTAAATTTGAAGACTACTCATCCGGCGGCGGAATCCTTGGGGCTTCTTGTCAGCAGCCTTTGTACACACCCATGTGGATGAGTACATGTTGATTCTGTCGATCAGCTCACCAGAGTGTCTGATAGCCGCAGGCTTACAAGTGAAGCCACAGGACTCGAAAGTCTTGATGTACCAAGGGTACTGAGCGGCGGAACGAAGCATCACACGGCCTCCAGGAACCAAGCACTCCTTGACAGCCTCGATCTCCTTGCGGGCATCGTCACCGTCCGGGTTGAACCAGTCCATGTGGTCCATGATGATGGCAATCGTGATAGACTTCTTGCTGAGACGGGCAAACACATCATTCAAAGTGTCAGTGTGAAGACGGACGTTGTCGATTGGAGCAGTGCCGTCCTTACGCACCGTCGTGAGATTGTTGAATCCTTTCTCTGTCAAATAGGTAGGGCAGTTGTTGCGGGCATAGCGTCCCTTCAAACACAAATAATAAAAGTAGTTGTCGGTGGAAATCAAGGTACGGTTGATCACAGGATCCAAGGTGTCGACAACATACTTGAAGACAGAAGGACCCATCATCTCAGCCTGGTTAGCTGGTACACCAAGAGCTTTCCACAAGAAAATAGGGTTACCGATCAAGATGGTAGCGACCATTGGGTTCAAAAGAGTGGGTCTCACCTTTTCGTTCCAGATACGTGCCTGCTGCTTGAGGGTAGTACATGAGCAAAGCTCGTCAATGTGCTTGTTGGCACCGAAAATGGTGAAAACAGCTTTGGCGAGTCTCAAGGCCCATCTGGTGGAACCAGTGTCGTACAAACCCTTTCCAGCTGGGTTGAAGGCTGTGTCACCGTTGTCAATCCAGAACTGGAAAGCGTTGGAAGACATATTGGCACTGAGCTTGGAGAGCAAGATATCTCTAAAGTTGTTGATACGACCATCGCCGAAAATCTTCCAAACCTGCTCCTGGTCAAGAGACTTGAAGGAGGCCAATTTCAACTCCAAAAGGTGGTTTTGACAAGGGTTCAAGTCAACAGCGTGAATCTTTCTTGGTGGATCGGGAAGGGCAGCATAATCCAAGATATTGTCACCAGCGGAAGTGATGGCCAAAACAGTATCGTTACTAGAAAACTTCAAGATGTTGTGATCTTCACGAGGATCCTCCCAGGTGAAACCGTAAATGTACTGGTTTCTGAACTGGTGGTACTGGGGGTTGATCTCGTCAAAGTACACTCTCCAAGGCTGACGCTGGTAGTAGGTCGAAGGGAATGGCAAGTTTTTGGCCAAGTTGGACAAGGCAGCTTCGTGGCCCTTGCTGACAGGAATGTCGTATTCTTGGGCCTGTGTCTCCTCCGAGGGGGCAAGATAAGGCGACTCAGTTGCAAGACAATTGATTCTGTGAAGCAAAGCAGACGATCTGGACTTGTCGCAGCCAACCCACACATAGTATGGAATACGGCCCAACATGTTGTTGTAGGAGTTCAAAGACTTGAGGGTTCCGAACTTGTACTCCAAGTAGTTACGTCTGGCGGAATCCAAGAAAATCTTGTCTGCTTCGAACCAGATACGCCAGAAGTTTCTCAACAACCAGGGGATGTTTCTGTTCACGAGACCACCCACGGTGTTGATTCTGCCCATGTAAGTGTCAGCACTCTGAACACCAAAATCAACGCTGGCAATGACACCGTTGGCACTGTCCAAGAGCTCAACCGCATGGTCGATCACAGAGTTGAAGGTTGGGATCATCAGCAAAGAGTACGAGAAGGTGATCAAATCAGACTTTTCGTGGGGGATGGTGAAATCGGCGGCATCAGATAAAACAACTTGCACAATGTGCTCGTAAGGCTTGCCAGCAAACCGTTGACGAGCGATTTCACAGAGGGAAGGCAGCAAATCAACCAAGTAGATGGCCTGGAAGTTCTCGGCAATTGGCAACACCAGGTCCATCATTTCGATGTTCTTTCCGGTACCACCACCAATGTCAACCCAGACAAGCTCACCATTTTTGTTAGGAATATGGGCAGCTGCCAACAGGAGACAGTCCTCTCTTCCTTTCAACAAGATGCTACGAGTCTTGTCGTAGACATGGGCCTGGTTGCTGTAAAACAACTCAAGAGCCTGCTGCTGCTCGGTAGGCTTGTTGTGGACTTTGTTAATAAAAGGCTTGACAAAACACGCCCAGGCAAAAACAGCCACCGATCTGACAAAGTGGTTCAACTTGGTGGAGAACAAGAAGACTGCAACAAGGGTGATGGAGCCACCGAAGAAGACCTTGAGAGGCTCGATGTCCAAAAGAAGCTGCAGCATAGTGGGAAAAAAAAGAAGGTTTATGCTACAAAAAACCGGGTATGCCCATCGAAGGTACACTATATATACTGGAAGCGGTTTGGGTGCAAAACAGTCCCAGGCGTATGGTCTGCAGACAGCGCGACAACGTGTGCAGCCACATGGGGTATCGTGCAGATATGGGTTCACAAGGGTAATAAAGGGAGTCCACGAAAATGGGATAATGGCGTCTGGAGCGATTTTCAACTTTTTGGGCTTTACAAAGGACGCGTACGTGTAACATCTTGTGCAATTTAATATCTCCATCTTGGGACCATACCGAATATCGGCCCTTAGTGGGATTTTTCCGTGACAGCTACGTGCGACAGCCTCTTGCAGATACTAGATAATGATCTATAACCGAGGGGATGAATGGAAGATGGACTCCTGTCACAGGCACAATTTGGACACCCGA